TATAAAAAAAATGTCTTAATTTTTAAATGTCTTAATTTGCGTTCCAGGAACATATTGACTTGAACGTACTAACATGTAACATAGACAGACTGACTGACAGAGCATGTGCCCTGCACTGAAGCAATACCCAGATGGAAGAAAAAGTAGTTCCCACCAACCGCGTATAATTTAGACAAGATTTCAACAGCTTAGTTAGTTTCCGGTGTGTTCCTGTTAAAGATAGACATTGCCTAGAATGACAGAAAAATCAAAGTATAAATATTTTGATTTTAGAATCAGTTTTAGAGCACRAAGTTCTGGTATTGATGGTAYTGATATYTCAKTATTGCACTACTGCAAACTCATCTTTGATGTATGCATGGATGGATGAATTGACGTTGACAACTACTAAGTTGTGTGTTCTAAAAAAAGTGATTGGCTTTTAACTGTAACATGTTTAGGTCGAGGAAGGCGGTCTAGATTAAAACCTGAAAAGACTTTGCTCTGTTTTAAAACTTTCCAAAATGTCTAAAGTTTGTTCCTTTTGACCCACAAATGTACCAATGTGTCCTAATTTCTAAAGAAGCCATTCTCACATGACGTAGCACTGAATGTAATGGTTGCAAACGAACCCATAAATGACTTTTTTTTTTTTACAGAAATTACATATAAGCACATTTCAAAACATACCAGTAAGTTAAAATGAGTAACAAGCTATGCTTGGTGATGAAACCATGACTCACAAAACAAGACTTACTGGTGTTTAAACTCTGTGTGCAATCATTATTTCTGCTACGTTATCTTATTTTACTGAGTCTCCAAGTTAAATTCAGAAGAACATCTTGTCTTTGACCAAAAATGTTTCATTCATGCGTATTTCCTTCAGAATATCTTGTGAAATCAAAACAGCTTTGTAAATACCACTGAATAGAAACTACACATCAGGCATACAGTAAAACGGGGGTTACGTAATGTCAAAAGAGGGTGGGTGGTACAGGCTGCCCTACAAACGGAGATCACAGTGGAAACAAAACATAGAGGAGTGCGCAAACAAAACTGAAAATCCTCTTAACAAAAAAAAAAAAAAAAAACACACTGAGGCGAGTCTCTAGATTTGTATTTATTTGCGAGGTTGTGATAACTTTACAATTAACCATATTTAAAATGAGATAAATCTCTTCTCATGCAAAGTAGTTGTTTCCTGTAATCTAGAAACCCCTAAACCCAGCATAAAACCATTTTGTTTCCATAAACATTTTGCTCATGTTCCACTTCAAACTTGAAAAATTCTCAACTCTAAATGTTTCTCTCTTGTTGAAAGGGAAAACGTCTGCAACAAGTTTCACTTTCAATTTCTGAGGGGGGGGGGGGGGGGGGTTCTTATCACATTGACATAATCGCAAATTGAGAGTGACTAATCTTGTTAACTCTGAATCCCTCCTTCATTAATTATTATTTTATTTTTTGTCGTGCCACATTATAACTGACTGAATTATAGCAACTTTTGTGTTTCCTATTATCGATTAGCTGTTTGACTCCATAAATGAATTAGTTGTATATGCAGTTATTGCTTTCTGGGAGTTTCATTAAAACCTGTTTAGTGGTTCATGAGATTTTATTATTATTATTATTATTTGAATACCAAACAACAAGAACACTTTTTGAATTTGAAGTGAGCAAATATGTTCTTCAGTTTGGCAAGACTGACATTCTCTCTGATGTCTTGTTGCCTGAAAAGTACCAAGTACATCCCCTCAAAAAAAGTCTAACACTTAATTGGCATCATTGAAAAAAAAGTCATAACTTTCCGTGTTGCCACATCAGCCCTTTACTTATACCTGAAAGCGTTACACAGAGATTGTACTTAGTGTTGTCGTCTCAATGGCAGCAGCAGTGACTCACACCGTGACTGTGTTTACCGACATTACAATTCTTGTCTTAGTGGCCCCACGTTGTGGTTTTACAGAGAAGGGGGCCTTCTTCGGCACCTGTGCAGTGAGAACCCCGAACGTCTCTTCCCAGCACCGGCTCGGCCCTGTTACCGGTACGTGTGACACAGCAGCAGATCACCAGAAAGGAAAGAGGCGGTTCAGCTCTGCTCGATGAGCCTCCTCCTTCCTGCCGCAACACTCCCACTCTCAGAGACTCCCACGTACCTGTGATCCTGTCAGCGGCACTGCACATGCACACCGATGGTCTTACTGATGAAACCTATTGTGGCTTAAAGATGTAAGCCCAAAAGCAGATAGCTGATGTCAGATACACTTTCTGTTTTGTTTGGTGGCTAAGCAGATTTGCATACTCCGGTGTTTTTAAAAGTTCAAGGCAGTTTCATGAGAAACTGAGAAAAAAGAAWGCAAAAACTGTTTAGATAAAACTAGACCCCATCATGTCACAACTAAAAGGCACTAATGGACCTTGGTTTCCTAGTACCTATATTCTCTAGCTACCTATGTTCTCCTGGGGTTAACAATGAAAGTCATGACAAATGCTTGGCTCCCCCTCAAATGTCTTCAAACAAAACAAAAGTGAATTAAAGTGCAGGAATTCTATCACAACCTGAGCAAAAACAGAGGTCATCCTTATGTTAACCCCAGGAGAACATCGTCACTGGGAAATATAAATACCACAGAACATTGGGCCTCATGCAAGAACCGTTCGTACGCACATATTTGTTCTTAAGTTGTGCGTACGAGTGATTTAGGAGAATTTGTGGCATTCACCAATGT